TTAGTCACAATAAATTATTAATTAAAATGCTATAGCTGAAGCAAAACAATTTTTAGCTTTCAAAATTTCTAAATAAGTCGTGGCAATAGTCGGCTTAATAACTACAATTATTTGTCATAAATGATATAACCACATATTTATAGTTGTGATGAAATTTTATAGCTATTCATAAGTTTTTGCAACGACTTGAAGCTGTAGCAATAATAACATTTTAACCACATTAAATCAGTTAAAACACAATCTTTTAATTAATTGATATTTTTGCTTCAAGTTACAAAAACGTACAAATAGTTAGCTTAATAGTTCCAATTATTTGTCGTGACAAATGAATAATAGGCAATTACCTTTCATAATTGACCATAACTATATATATATATATATTGTCATTCATTTGAGGTTATTGTTGCAGTAATAATATTTTAACCATATAAATTAGTTGCAAATAAATTCGTAGATGAATTCTTTTACTTCGACTATCAAAGTCATGACAAGAGTTGGTCTAGAATTAATATACGGTTATGATAAAATAATTTCATATAAAAATTTGGAAAAAGCGACAATGTATATAACTTGAAGAATTAATTAAATTCTAAATAAGAAAGAGTAAAATGAAAAACATCTTCAATCTTAAAATAGAATTTAAACAGAACAAAAACTAAAATGAAAAAAGTATAGTAAAATAGCGACGGGTTTGCGACGAAAAATAAAATTTGTTGCTAGTTTTTCTACTAACATATAGCAGAAGATCTTGAAATGAAAACTCTATCGCTAACTTTATTATTTATTTTAATTTTTAGGTTTAATCATTGTAATATCAATCAATTTTTAGATACATTTGTTGTATTTTAAAATCAAACTTACTTCCAGTATATTATAAAAATCTTACACTTACACCCTCTATGAGGTAACTATGTTTATTAAAATAAAACTATTAATAATAAATTACAATTATAGCATTATTCATGTACTTATTTTTATAAAATTTTGAAAAGGGATTAAAAACATTTTTGTTGGAAACCATTATTCATGAAGTTGATTAAAAAGGATAATAATTTTTGTGTAAAAATATTCATCTTTCTTAACTCTTAAACAAACCCAAAATACTTAATAAGATAACTAGAATTGTCATATATTTGGAAAAATAGTTTTATCTTCCAAAAGTCTTTAACTATAATGATACTATTCTTATTTTTCTAAATATATGTAAGCATCTTATATAATGAAAATTCTACACACAAAAAATAGCATACAACAAATTTAAGATATTTTTTAAGCGGTTCAAGAAATAAACAAACTAAAATAATATTGAGTTATTCATATGCAATAAGTATTTTATAATTAATTAAAGATACAGATAACTTACACGTTTAAAGTTTAAGAAAGTTTTCACTATTTGCATATCTTATTAAGCAATTTATATTTAATTAAATGCATGAACAAAAAAAAATTCAACAAAAATATTTAGCTTCTCTGTTAAATTTTGTAAATATAATACGTAAAACTTTTTTAAAATTTTAATTTTTTTAATAAGTATATTTTAAATACTTTTAGTTATGGATATACCTCAGAGGAAGTGTAACCGTAAAATATTCATAATATAGGAGATATAGTATTTAATTTTACTATGTATAGTTACACTAATAATAAAGAATTTATTATGGTTGACATCCAAGTCCCTAGAAAAACTGATTATATTATAATTTTTATTAAATAAGTCTTACGTGCAGTCAAACCTCCCTATAACGGCCTTTTTTATTTCGATATTTTTTTTTGTTGTTATAGTGAAACATCGTTATAGAGGATATATATTATATATAAATATAAAACTTGGTTATGAGAAAAACTTGATTTTTATAGTGAGTGGTTTATGTATGAGGATATTGTTATAAAGATGTCTGACCGTATAAGTTTCAATTATAATTAAAAAATGGAATTATATCCCACAATTATGTGCATGACTAATTATTTCAAAATTAAACAACTATAATCTTGTACTAACTATATTGTACAATAAATTATTTCTATTACTGAATCAAAGAATTAAGAATTTAATATAATTCGTATACATAAAGAGGATATTGTCTTTTTATGACTATTATCCGATGTTTTATAAACTTAAAAACTTTAATATATTATGTTTTATTTCAAAAATTTGAGAATTTAATATTGCTTGATAAATGAGTGTATAAAAAATTAATTAGTATATAATAATTCATATCAAACAAAGTAGTACTTGTGATTTTCCAATATAATTTAAATAAATATGTAATTATACAGTAACTTTGTGCTTGTAATTATTTACATTGCTCACTAATTATATTCAATCTGAATAATTATAAAAATTTTATAAATCTAATTAAACACTAAAATACGAATCTAATATAATAAAAATAGGAGTATATAACAAACTACTAACAATATCATATAGGATGAAAGAAACTTTAAAGAAAAATTTTGATTTAGAATATCTTTATTTTATGCAAATAGTTTATTTTTCAATGTTACTTAACATAAATTATATATTTATTCTTTTCATAGTAGTGTTTTTACTTATAATTGTTAGCACTTATATATTTTTGCATCTACTGAATTAAGATGTAGTATTAACTAATTAATAAAAGAAAGCAAAATTATATTATATAAATGACAAAGGACAATTGCAATTGGCCAAAAGTAAATCATCAAAACCTAAACTACGTTCTAAACTCTTCAGCCGCCAATCCTACCCCTACGTCCCCTTCCCCACTTTTTCAATTCTTACTTCAACTATGGATAAACTAAAATATGCGAGAACGACATAGAAGAAGAGTGAGAGAGAACCTCATAGAGGTAAGCTCGTATCTCTATTTTACGGTTTGTGAATTTTCTCATACCTACTTGACATGAATTTTTTGGATTTAGTTTTGCGAATTATTCTGCAATTTAATATTCTGCCTTATTTTTGATATATAGTGAGTGAAAGTTTGAAGATTTTGAAGAGGAGCCATAGTTCGTGAACTGTAACAGCAAAGCAACATTACAAATTTGGGATCAAGATCCTTTAAGAAGTTTACGAAGTCTACAGGTTTTTAAATTTTTTTGTTGCTTTGTACTTTTCTCTTTTATTATATGTTAAAAATTCTTGTTTTCTTGTCTTATTCAATTTATATTTTTACTAATCGAACTTGCATCTTTGTATTGAAGTTTAAACTCAATTGTACCTTTAGAGGTCGTTTGGTAGCTGGTTAGAAGAAAGGTTATTCATGTATAAGGGGTAACATAACTTGTACCATGTTTGGTAGGCAATAGTTATTTTGTATAAAATTCTGCATAACTAATACCATGTTTGGTTGACATTTTTCAATTATGCATAAATAATACATGTATAAGTTATGAGTCAATCTGCGTATTGTTTTATGCGGGGTAGAAGATGGAATAACTAATACATGTATTAGTAATACATGGATAAAATACTGAAATGACAAATTTACCCCGATCACTTTACACATAAGGCTTCCTTATTTCTCTGCCAACCCGTCAACAGGTTTCACTTGCTTTCACTTGCCAACTATATACCTTGTCTTCTCTCATTTTTAAAGAACAAACTAGCAAAAGCAAACTGGAGAAGCCACTAGAAAATGGAAATACCAAAACTAAGAAGTGAAAATCAAATATGTCTAAACTTCCATAGTTCAGTAGTATGACGAAGAAGTGAAAGTAACACCCAAAGTTCCTAACTGAATTGTTTCCTACATAAATGGAAAGAGAGAAAAAACAATGCAAAAGAAAGCCAGGGGTATAGTTGTAAACAAGCATTTTACTTTAAAATTTATATAATGTATATCAATTTCTAATACAACAAACCAAACATTCAAAAAAATAATCTCTGCATAACTAATACCTGCATAACTAATCCCTGCATTACTTATCCCTGCATAACTAATCCCTGCATAACTAATACATGTATAACTAATACCTGCATAACTCTAACCGGCAACCAAACGACCCCTTAGTGAACTCATACAATTGTCAAATGTTGCCTTCTCCGGCTAAAATGCCAAAAAGAATTAATCCATATCAGTTAAAATTTTAGTCTAGTGCCAGGCAATATGATCCGCCTCCAATTGCAAAGTGATTTGTAACTTAGAAAGCACCAATGAGACTCGGTTAAGATTAAATTGCAGTACTGATGTTCTTAATCCTTGCAAGCAATATGTATTTTGCTTCATTAATTAATTTTTGAAGCAATATAGTGACTAACTACCTCTTTTGCATATGTGATCGATTATTTTTTGCTTTCGGGTATTAAAATACTTTATCATTAACAGGCAAATTTGACAAATTAAGACTAAAGCTAAAGTGCAGTTAAGGCGGTGCTATGTTGGGAAGCGAGGAAGGAGAAGACGGTGCTACTTTGTGTAGATGGTGTTGTAGAAGAATTATAAGTAATTTGTGGAGTGTAATTTTTTTTAATTCTTAGCTACATTGTAACAATTCTTATGTATATCTTTTGGAATCAAAAATATTTGAAATTTTAGCTGCAGGATGAAAATTCTGTGACCAATTATTTTGTGGCAAATTTTTCGATTATAGCAATAAAAATTTAGAATTCGAGGCTACACATATATATAGTTGATAGTTATTTTTTCACTTTTCGTAGCAAATGATTAAACTATAGCTTGAATACTATAGATTTTATGGCAAGAAGAATGAATTCTTAGCTACATACGAAAATTTTTGTGCCAAATACTTCGATTGTAGCTGTAAATTTATGAACTCGTAGCTAAATAAAAGAACAATTGCCACGAGACTGAGGTATAAAAATAGCCACAACATATGAATTTTCGTAGCAAATAAATTAATTCTTTTGCCACGATAAAACACCTTGTGGCTACAACATAAAGATTGCTACAAAGTTTATTTGTTGTGGCAAAAGAATAAGAGTTTTTGCTATAAGTATATATTTTGTGGCAAAAAAAGTTCTGTTAATATTGCTACAATACCAAAAATATTCGTAGCAATAAATATTAGTCCTTAGCCACGAACCATGTCATGTCTGTAGCTAACTTTTAGTTACGCTACTTCTTACTACGAATGCTACGGAAAAAAAATATTGTGGCTAAAGTGTTTAGCAACGGGATTTTTCATATTTAGCTACAATATATTTTGTAGCTGTAAATGCATAGTGTTGTAGTGGAGGTTCAAGACAGGTTCATCTTGGCGTGTTCAGTTCTAGCCGCAACATATTTGACGATAATCGTGACTTTTGTTTGAGAAATTTGACCGGTGTGCTACGCACGTTGAGACAAACTTTGTGGTGGAAATTTGGAGATGCGACCTATTGAAGGCTATGTGAAGAATGTGGATCAAGTTTATTTTGTCAGAAAATTCAGGCCAAGGGGGAGAATTGCTAGGTGTTTGCCATAATTTTCTTACCATATTTATGATCCAGTTGACAATAAACTTATTAGAAGTCGTGATGCAATATTCAGGTGTGTCACTTGTGTTTGCCTCTTCGTGAGGCTGTTCTCTCGATATTTTGTACTCTCTTTTACTATAGTGGATTGCTCATCTCCGCCATGGATGTAAGTCAGTTAACCGAACCACGTTATATGTTTGCGTCTCTTTTGGTATATTTCTCTTTGTTGTATGATTTATCGTCGCTCAAGGTTTGCTTGCTAGCTTCAGCATGACACTTGATTTTTCCGATCCTAACACCTAGGATTATATATGATTCTTTGTTCATCTCATGCAACACCAAATCCCTTGCTTTGGAGATGCCTCAATATTCAAAGTGCAATAATGGTTGAAAATCTATCTTCATGTTTCTAGGCTTCAATGGGAAAATGTAGTGAATTCTATTTCGAACATTTATCCGTTGAGACAAACTCTAAGATGTGCTCAGGTTTTTATACCTTGAACAAAGTTACCTAAAATGTCACGACCCAAAATCCACTACGGGTCGTGATGGCACCGGACACCGTTGTCAGGCAAGCCTACTAAATACTTAATTAAACTCCAATTTTAACAATTTTTGAAAAGTCCAAGATTTTCCTTTAAATTTCATAAGTACAAAAGTAGCTGCTTCATTTTGAATTAAATAATAGCAATCAATTCAAAACATTTCAAAACCATCCCAGAACCCGGTGTCACAAGTGCATGAGCAACTACTGATAAGGAGAATAAAATACAATGTCTGTCCGAAATACAGTAGACAGGGAATAAATAAATAAAGTACTGGAAGGGAACTACACTAGCTGCGGGTCGTCTCGAACAATGCAGCTCACCTAGTCCCCAAACCATCCGTGCTGCCATCTAGTGTAAAATATACATGTGCAACAAAAATGCACAGAAGTGTAGTATGAGTACGTAATCAACGTGTACTCAGCAAGTATCCCGTCTAATCTCGAAGAAGTAGAGACGAGATTGTCGACTTTGACTCTTACTAGAGGTCAATTAACAATATACTAAAATGTGAGGAAATCCATGGGTATGTTATTTGGATCGGGTGGCATGCCGCCATGGTTATGTTGTTTGGATCGGGTTGCGTGCCGCAACAACGTGATGTTCAGTACAGTTCCCTATATCTGCCTTTATGTGTTTCTTTTCCTATCTTTTCGGAGGAAAGCTCGTATTAGCTGTGAACGCGCGTCGCATGTATAATTCGCGAGCGGGGTGTCTGTTTAGTATGTTGCCCGCGTCGCAGGTATGATTCGCGAGCGGGGTAATTGGATCTCCTTTTCATAGTTCATTTTTCTTCTTCCTTGTATCGCGCTCGAATCAGTAGCCTATTGGCACATTGTGGCATCAATTGAGACTTTTGATCATGTCCGGGGTGGCATATTGCTTGAGTAGTTCGTACTGGGTGAGACGAGATTATTGGTTTTAAGATCCGTGCAATCCGAGTATATGAAGTACATTAAGGAGCTAAGCCATTATTCGGCCCAGAATGCAGTGATGGTTCTTGACAGGAGTATAGACCCAATGAATTGTTGATTCGGTAGTTGGTTATGAATTTCTGCACATCTCTCTCGTCGTGGCGGTATTGTAAGAGTTGGAGTAAGACCTATGTCTGTCATGGGATGTAATGGGAGCATCAGATTAGTAGGATTTCGACTAAGTTGATCAGAAAATGTTATTGGGTTCCGGTGAGTAAAGTGATGCAAGGCGTGAATTCAGCTAAGGTATGCA